TGCCATTGCAACCGACAGTTTTTCATGCATAATATACTGTAACACAACATCATCGGCTATCTTATTCCTGATTTATTGAAAACAATTAGGGCTATTGGCCTATTCATTTGACCTAAACGGATATTATTGGTCTCGTAAAGTATATTGTTAATTGCCAGTTTAATGCTTGAACGCGATCGCACATTAACATTGATGATTAATTTCATGAATGACACATTGAATTGCTGCTATGTGATGTGCTTAATTGCTCACTTATAAATGTAATTTAATGGCATTGGTACACCATTCGGTTTCGAACAAAACTTCCCCCATTAAGCGGGAATCGAGCTCACGGCTTCCCAACCACCAGTTTGCTCGAAATCGAGTGATGTACCGATGTCATTGATGTTACCGAGTTTGAATCAGCCTAAGATTTGATTTGTATGTAAAAATGAATGTAATTTCTTCATTGAATTTGGATTTGCCACAGTTCGTCATTTCTTTCAGAGAAGTCACCACATCTGTTTTTTTTTTCAGATACTCGCGATAATTTTTCCACTGTTTTACCAGACACATAAAAAATGACAGCATTACCTTATCAACAATGGAATACCATCGTAAACTTTGATTTGCTCTCGCACTTGATCATCACTGCAGAGTATTCGTAGCAGACTTACGCACAACCTGAAATTATCACCATCCAATCCCATAATTATAATGAGTTCATTCAAAATGTTATGAGAAGTTGGGTTTGTCAGTGTCTTTAGCAATTGCTCGTCAATTTTGAAAATTTCAAACTTTTGAAAATGATTTCAAAAAAATTCCAACTTTTGCGTCAACAGATCAGTATCCTTTGCGAGTTGAAGACACGCATCCACTGTGATCGAATTGCTCATGTCAGCCCTTGCTATAGCGCTCATTTCAGCCAACGTTCCCAAACACTACAAAAACAAATTGATAGTGAAATAAGTGCAATTATTAGTGGATATTCTGAGAAATCGGTTCTTAAGAAAGATTTTCTTCCTAGATATGAGAGATACTTTGGGTGGTTCCTTGAAAAGCACGATAAGATGAAATGAACCTTGAGAGTAGCCTGAAGAATGGTCATCTCTTTCGCATATAACAATGCGATAACAACCTGAAAGTTATGTCAATCGCTTATTTCGTACAAATCTGTTTATATGACTGCTGAAGCTGGTTATTAATTTGTTCCTAATATACACATTCTGAAATCTATCTAAAAATCTGTCGGAACTGTAAGTGAAAATGTAATCATAAAGAAAAAACATTGCAAATGAAATACAAATATATCTTGTGATTTTCACTGCCACATACCTTTTGAATTCCATAAGCCGCTAACTTTTCCGCATTTTCAACAGTACCACTACTCAACTTCTGTGCGATGCCTGAAAGGTATCATTTGTTTCAGTTGAACTTCAGAAGCTCTATGTTTTCCAGTTGAATCTTCTGTGTCAGCGCATCATTGTCTGCATTAACAAATCTATCTTATTGTATGCAAATGCTTGCGAATGTTGAATTTCTGAAGCTTTCAAGTTATGATCAACAACGCGGATCATTTGCATTTTTGTATTATGGATATTTAAATGAATCAAATTTATTTAAACTTTAGCCTTCTCAAAATCATAAACATCTGTTCAAAATGAACCATTAGAGTTAGAGCTTGAAGAAATAATTCACGGATGACATCCATCTATATGAGATTAAATCTTTAGTAATCCTATTTTATACATTCATTCCTTAATGCTTCCATCACCACGAACAAATTCGTACACACAATCCCTGTGACGAGCATTTGGGTCTCTGTCCGAGATTGTCTTATCTCAATTGCATTATATCTATGCTTGTGATCTAATCAGTTCAGCTAATCTTTCGAGTCATAGCGCATTTGTCTCAATCCATCAAGTAACTAACTATCTTTTCAGCTTTGCTTAAGTTCGTTTCTTCACTCCGCGCATCTAATTGATCCTTCTTGCCTTAATCATTTCGGCTGGTTCAATCATTAGAATTAGGAAACGCTTGTAATGGAATATTGATCTGTTTGACGATCGAATTGGGAAACATTAGGCATTTGTGCATGCACCAAGCTGGTATGCAATGATGAGTGAAAGGCATTTCAGATGAATTCATACAAACGTCTAATTTATGCAGATTTATGTCGTGTCATTCGATGAATTGAGCATCAATACGCAGGGCATGTTTAATTATGCAAAATGACGCGGAAGAATCCAAAATCATGATGAAATTATGAAGTTTTGACATCTTTCACTCTTGAATAGTGAATAAATTTGAATTTTTCAGTACTGATTTTGATCTCAAGATCAGAGATATTTATTGGGAGGAGAACATAGCAATTTTATAACTCACTGAGAAGCGCTTTCGTGGAAGTCGACCATTCTGCAGTACCTTCATTGTTGAGATACGACTGACTGACAAATGTCAAAATCTAAACTTTTCAAAACGTCACTAATGAACTGAATGAATCATCAAATCAAATCATCAAATCTTCGAATTTCAATTACTGATTGCTGAAAGTACATTCTTGGAAGAGCAATCGCAAATGTTAAGTCAGTTAACACATTATTTCATGTGGAATTCCGAAAGTTTCCAAGTTAGTCTCCTTTTATTCTCAGAAATGTGTGCACCTGAACAAATCCCTCTTGTAATTTCCATGCATGAAATGAATCCTCCAATGTTCGATCACGAAGTAGATGTTTTGTCAGTTGAATAAGCGATAAAATCCATCGCCTTGGTGGACGACACGATATCCACATACTGCGAATTTTATGAATTGTGATCATCACTGTTGATACCATCAAAATTTTCAAAGTTTTTATCATCCTGATTTTCTAACAATTAGTGGTAATAAAATCTCAGTCGTATAAAATTTTTTTGCCGATCACATAATGTTGATCTCAGTAGATGGGTCAGCATCGCTATGCTATCGATGAAAATTAATCATAAGATTTTTGTTTCAAGTGAACGTTTTAAGTGCTTAGAAAGTTTCCATAAATCCTATGATAGTTTCAAGCTCGAAAATCAACGGAAGGTAAACTTGAGAAATCATTGATGAAAGTCAACTGAAGAGACGGAATAAACATTTGAAATATTTTATTTCAAATGATTTTCAGCAGCAGAAAATCCCGCTTGTCTGACAGCTGAACTATTTTTGCGGAAAGCTTTCAACTGCTGCAGATTTAATTCGAAATTAGAACAATTTCATCACCAAATAAGTTGGAAATCGTTCGAATAAATAGTTGCGGTCTTATCGATATTGTACGAATGAAGCAATGAATTTCACCACGCTTCAATCATGCAAAGTTGTACAAAACGATATTCGATAACATGAAAAGACTAATCGCAAGCCTTGATTTGAATTATTATAATTACTGCAAATTAAAAGCGCGATGGCGATTCCTGAGAAAT